AAAATTATTATTATTTTTAATTCAAAATGATAATGCATCTTGCCTAGGCCGCTACCAACAACATTCGAATGCTCCAGGGGTTTTACTCGCTATTGGCTAGAAGCATCCGTATACCCAATACGATTTGACTTCGATCAGAAAGCCATACTGCCATTCAGCATCGCCAGTCATGATATTGCATTCAACGAAGACAAATATCTGGTAAGAAATTATCATATTTCTTCTGAAAAAGTTTAAATATCCTTTAATTGAAAACTATAATTGCCACAGTTAATTTTTAATTATTTTCTTTTACAAGAATTCAGTAACAATATCGAAACCAGAATCATTTTTATGCTGCTCCTGTTGTCCACGTAAACGGAAAGTCCACTACAGTCTCGCAATTGACAGAACTGTGTACCACCCGGGTAAGTATTCTGTTTAATAATCATTACTGATGCTGCTACTGCTGCACTCTGCTATGCATCGGCCACTACTACCACCACCACTGCTACTACCACCACCACCACCACCACCACCACCACCACTACTACTACGGTACTACTACTGCATTACTACTACTGTACTAATACTACACTGCACTAGTAATACTCACTACTACTACACTCTACAACTACTATAGCTGCTGCTGCTGCCTACTATTCTGCTACTACATCGTCATCATCATCATCGTCATCATCATCATCATCACCATCATCATCATTATCATCATCACCATCATTATTATTACTAAGTATTAAGTTGTCACAATATTACTCTGACACTTTACAGGTGATTCAATTTTATTCAGCGGGGAGATACGCAACAATTCAAAAGAAACGATTACTGGTCAGATTTGTATTTACCAACGAGTGACGTACCACACAAAAAGCGACGATGATGTCGAGGAGAGGACGGTAGAGTATAAAGTCCTGAATGATGTTGAGAGAATGGAATCAAAAACATGGACGAATAGTTCAATACTTATCCCCCCAATACCACCATCGTCAAATGGCCGGCTGATAGATATCGGCTATCAAGTAGAGGTATGAAGTATAAACAAGTCAAATATTTTTAGTTTCTATATTTCTCCATGTTGTAACTAAATACAGTAGTAAGAAATGCCGGGCGAGCACACGCTTGAGCTTTAACACACATTCGACAAAAATATATTGAACTTACACAATTGTGGTATTTTTTTACACTTTGTTATAATACAGATGAAGCTTAAAATAGGAGTTGTAAAAGAAAAGATACTGCGAATTCCCATACACATATCATCGGCCCAAGTTGAAACAAAACAATTTGGTGGATTTAGTTATTTCGGTGGTGAGTACTGTACATACTGTACCATCAAAGATATATATATATATATATATTAATTTTCGGTGTTGTGTAAAGTTTCCAATAATGCAGATATAGAGTAATAATATTTTATTATACGTAATATTCACAATAATATTTACGTTATATCATTGTTATCATTTTAATAATAATAATAATAATAATAATATTAATAATACTAATAATAATAATAATAATAACAATAATAATAATAATAATAATAATAATAATAATAATAATAATAA